CCCCTAATCGGAACTTTTACCATTCTTTTACATTTCTCCAAACTTAATTTTTTCTCAAACAAATATTGCGAAAATTTTCCTTTTAATTATTGTTGATATTCTCCCATTATTATTACTATTTTTAGTACACTAAATAGTAATTTTACAAATGGAAGAAGGATGTATGAACATATATGGACATATCTCATACATAATTATATATGTTTATGAATATTTATATATGTGTATGTATGCTTATATATATTTTTATATATTCATGCATGAAAAATTTTTTACCGGAATGGTGTTTCTAAAATTTATAAAACTATAAGGTATCATTACCAGAAACACAGAAGAAGAAAGAATCGACATGTTAGATTTAAGTCTCATTTAGATTTAATAAATCGAGTGTTACATCATTACAAATTTTTTATCATAATTGATTACAAAGGATATTATTATCCTAAGTTATAATAATACATAAATAACCAAAAATTATTTCTGTTGTGATTTTTAATCAATAGCAAATTATTAATTACTTAGATACAAGGGACATTATTCAAGGTAAAGACAAACTCTTTTTTCTTCTCACGACACATATCAGGAGAAAAAAAGATTTTGCGATGTATATGTTTTCAACTACCCCCCCCTGTTTTCTTAAATTATGTATAATCCCTTAAGATGTATATAGTAACATTTTCTTAAACTTGTTTATTAATTAATTATATATTACCATTATTAAAAAATGGGTACCACAGTAATTTATCAAGGTTATATTTCTCAGTTGCACACAAATGCTATTTTTGAATCGTACACACTTTTTACACATGTTTATAATGTATTTCATTCGCTTAAATAAATTTTTGGTATTTATTCTTTTCTTTATTAATATAATCTTAAAATATCTTAATAAATAACAATCATATTTTATATTAATACTGGCACTGCAATTTTGATTATAATTGCTCAAAAGATGAGCAATAGATAAAGAAATAAAACATCATAAATTATAATAACAATGAAATACAAATAATAACAAATATTTTATTCACATGGTGAAAGCATTGACGATTCATACAATAATAAATGTAGTATTCACTCTGTTAGCAGTAGTATTAGTAGTACAGTAGAAATAATACTATTATCATTACTAGTTTAGCAGTTGCAGTAATAGTAATAATAACGGCGGTCATTATGGCAATGGTAATAGTTGTAATACTAATAGTAACAGCAGTTGCTCTAACAGTAGTAAAAATATAAGTATGAAAATAATAATAGCATTAATATAATAATGTAATAGTAAGGTAATAGTAGTTACAGAAATATTAACAATGATAGTAATTTTACAGCAGCAGTAGGAACGGTAATAGTATCTCAAGCAGTAAAAATAGAATAGCAGTAAAAATAATAGTACAGAAAAATAAATGAAGAGTAACAGAATGAACAAAATAATACGATGGTACGAATAATATTAATAATAATAATTGCACTATTAATAGTAATATCAGTGATAATAATAATGTTAATGGCAACAGTGGACAATGTTAGTGATGATGATGATGTGAATGGTGATGATAATAATAATAAATATTTAGAAATAGTAAGTAGGTATGTAAGTGATAATAATAATTAGTAAGTAGTCAGTAGTCAGTAATTAGTAGTAATACGTGATGGTAGTGATAGAAATAGAATTTTTAATATTGGTAGTAAAAATAATAGTAATATTACCAGTAATAGTATTAGTAGTAGTAGTGGAGGTGGTAATAGTAGTCGTCGCAATAGTAATAAAGTAGTAGTAATAGTAGCAGTAGCGTAATAACAGTAGCAGCAGCAATAGTAGTGGTAGTAACAGTAGTAGTAGTAGTAGTAGTAGTAGTAGTAGTAGTAGTAGTAGTAGTAGTAGTAGTAGTAGTAGTAGTAGTAGTAGTAGTAGTAGCAGTAGCAGTAGTAGTAGCAGTAGCAGTAGCAGTAGCAGTAGCAGTAGCAGTAGCAGTAGTAGTAGTAGTAGTAGTAGTAGTAGTAGTAGTGGTGGTGGTGGTGATGGTAGTGATAGTAGTGGTGATGGTAGTAGTAGAAGTAGTAGTAGTAGAAACAGTAGCAGTAGTAGTAGTTGAGTAGTAGTAG